TGTTTATAGGTACTGCCAAATACAGTTGTGAACTATGGCTATTAGGGCTTGGCCTGAAATAATTAAAAAACCCACCTCTCCAATAATGCTAACTTCTGCTAACATGCTGATGTGATTCTAGTAGATAGTGCTAAGCTAAAAGAGATTTACTTGAACATATTTTGGTCCTTCTAGATTAAACACAGATTATTAAAGCTTCTAAAAAACCTTCCATGTTTTATTTGAAACTTGTGACAGACGTATTACCATATATTTTACCTTGTAGCAGTTCCACAGTGACTCTTTCAGTAGAGAGGCCTATTACAGAGCTGCTGCTGTTTCCCATTTCTAACAACCCATTGATGAGACTGCCAGTTAGAGAATTACTGGCTTATCGTATTCACAGTCAGTGATGACTTCCAGAAGGACCAGAGTGACATTTTTTTCTCACTAAATTGGTAAATATGCTGAGTGTTAATCTAACACATTAGGCCTTCTCTTCAGCTCTTGAAGTCCTAACCAATAGGAACGCTCACTTAGCTATATCTGAAAAGCAGTTCCTAATTGACCAACTTTCCGCTCATTTCCACTGCATTTCAAATATTTAACCCTTTGTTTCCATCCAAAACTTAACAGTGAAACAAAAGCAGTACTGTAATACTAATGTGCATTAGAAACTAACGCACAGTTTAAATACGAGAATGATTCTATTAAGGAACTAAAAATTACAGACATGGATTTTTAGTTCCAAGAAATCATTAGGCTGTCTGTGAAGCCCCTGAGGGTTCCCCTCCAGCCAGACAGAAGTTTTTGGTCATGTTTGGGCAAATTATAAGCAAAATTAAAATGTCTGCTAAATGTGTATTTGCATTTTAAAAATACATATTTGAGATGCTCTGTGTCTATACAATGCAAAATGCAGTAAATATGATCATTCATATTGTTTTTTTAAATGAACATATTTATATATGAGTCATATGTAAATTCATCGTAAACTATTGGCTACTGGGTAGCATTACTTTTACAGTTCTGTAAAAATACAGGAGAACGCTGTATTTTAATTACAGCTTATTACTGTAAGTTTACATGAAAATACAGCTGCATCACTGTACTCTTGTGCTCCAGGTGAATGTGGAGTCACAGTATGAAGTTATTTTACTGTGATTTATTGTTAATTTGCTGTAAAGTAATGCAACTAGTAGTCAGTAATGTTACATTACAGTGTGTATAAGAGAGGAATCATATAGAGATCACAGATCTGCAATCCTACTCTGAGAAGCTTTGTGAAGACAGGCCCAGGCTTTTAATTAATCACAGCTCTCACTCTCTGTTTTTTCTCTCTTTCCCATCACTGTGTAGCCTGTATGTGGGACAGTATCAGTTTTCGCTGGTTCTCCTGGGTTCGAATGCTTTGTTTGTCATGCGAAGCTCTGAGAACACAGGGAGTACTGTTGGACTTCCCCGCTCGCTCGGGGCAACATGTCTGCAGACAGATAGCATATCAGCCTGCATCATCAGGGACCCGTAAGGCAGGCAGAAGACACTTACCTGCACTTGTGCAAACATTTAGCAGACACGTCGGTGTTTGTGGAGGTTCTGGGGGGACATGCTCCCGTAACTTTCCAGGCATTAGGAAGAAAAGAAAATAAATGTCCCCGGAGCGCTGGGTGAATCATATTGTGTGGAGCAGCCAGCAGTGTCTTTCAGCTGTCTGGTGCAGGCCGGTGAGGGGTGAGTGATGAAAACATCAGTGGCTATTTTGGAAAGCAGCTTGGCACGGCTGCCTCTGGCCTGAAGCCCGCTGACCCCATCCAGCCAGAGCCAGCGAGTTCAACTTCCTGGGGAAATTCCTCCCACGAAAAATAAGACTTTCACTTGTTCCTCCACTCTTCTTTTGAGAAGAGGCCTCAGGCCTCAGAGAAGGCTTCTGCAGAAAAGACTTTCTTATTCCAATGGGCAATAAAAAAAAGTTTGCTGGGAACACGGACTTCCCCTCATTTAAACTAACAATGGCGTTAGTGGCTTTAGGAGCGTGAGCTGAGTGCTGAATAATGGAGAGAGAGAAAGTAGGTTTAAACTGAAATAATCCCAAAAGGCATCTTGAAATGACAACGCAACCACGTCCATGTAATTCCCCTTTAGCTGTATATATAATTTCCCGTTAAAATACCCGATGTGCTTTCGCCTTCGTTTGTGGTTGGAGTGCTGCTTGGCCTCTCTGTAATGACTTCTGCACTTGCTTGGCAGGGCCTCAGATGAGTGGCATGGGAAGTGGCTCACAATGAGCCTTTACTGAACCTTCAGCCTGTGGATATCATCAGCTCATGACACATAACCAAGACCATTTTAGCCTTCATTATTAACCACAGATATTTACAAAGGCTGTACCCTCCAAATCTCTTGCTCTTTCTTCTCTCTCCCCTCTGTATGTATGTGGTTCGCTGAAAATAAAGTGCATAAAGTGACTCGTTTTGTCTCCATTGCATCCGTTACTGAGAAACCCAAAGGAATCTGGACTGGAATTATTACACTCTGTGCTGCTGTTGCAATGCTACAGTTGTGCCACAAGTCTAACTCAGACCACCTACTGAGTCACAGTCAACCAATTCCATATATTTCCCCTGCTGGATACCCGATCATCAGCTAGCTGTGTAAAATGATTTCTGTGGAAATTTGTGTTTGTCAGTAGCAGCCTGATGACTGATACACAACTGTAAATTCAGTGTGTTCAGCTGCTGTTTCCTCACCCGAGTGTTTCTTGGAAAAACCCAACACCATGAATGATGCCATATTTAGCCACTGCTTCAGACAGCGCTGCAAAGTCCCCCGTCACAAGCTCCACACGCAAAAACATTTGCAATGTAAATCACCAGACAGTGACGCTTTTAGCTATTTTACTCCAAAAAAGGTGCTAACAATGAGAGCAACACTCTGCCTCGTACTCTTATCGATAGCAATGCAAATTCAACAAGGGAGATACAACTTTTTGGGGGAGCTGTGTTTCCTGAAACTCATTAAAATTGACCTTTGATTGTAGCCTATTTATCTAAACTACTACTAGATACCCACCAGTCAGCCATAACAAACCATGAAAACAACCTCCTTGTTTCTACACTGTCTGTCCATTTTATCAGCTTCACTCATCATACCGGTGCACGTTGCAGTTCTACAGTTACAGACTGTAGTCCATCTGTTTCTCTGCATACTTTGTTAGCCCCCTTTTACCCTGTTCTTCACTTGTTAGGACCCCCACAGGACCACCACAGAGCTGGTATGATTTGGGTGGTGGATCATTCTCAGCACTGCAGTGATACTGATATGGTGGTGGCATGTTAGCATGCTGCGCTGGCACGAGTGGATCAGATACAGCAGTCCTATTATTACTAACATCATTATTATTATTATTATTATTATTATTATTATTTTAATAATAATAACATAGTTGCTGCTGTTCTAAAGCTAATGTGATCACCATAAAACTAAGGACATTAGACAGGAATATTTTTAAGAGGGAACCTCAAAGCAGTACTGTCATTTTTATTGCACCTTTGTATCCACTTACAGGGGAATTCAACCATTTCTTCTAATTCCATGGTTAAGATGCAAACAGAATCGTTCAGAATTGTGAATCTGAAGCATTTGATACATTTAATACCTCTCATAGAAAGTTAATACATGAAACAGTTGTAAGTATGTTGTGATCCCTGAGACATTGTTTTATCATAGCTTTGAAAAGGTTTTCGGCCTAAACCATTTTTTTGTAACCTATTAATGACAGAGAGGTACATGCAAGGTGTTGCGAGGCAAAATAGTCACTAAACAAACATTTTTTTTTAGATTTACCAACTTTTACCATCATTAACACTACATATTAAAACTCAGAAGACACATGTAGGTTCACTGTTGGTTTTGGATACAGTCACTTTCTCTACATGGACCACTTCATATCAAAAACACTTTATTTACAACTCAGCCATTTAATGTTCTTACTTAACAATTATGCAGAAAGTTTGAAAATTTGCCGAAATTCACCTTTAACTTACAGCTCACAGTAATTGTCAGCTTAATTACAAAATGGTATCCAATTTAGAAAAAGGAAATATTTTATATTTATATATAAAATTTATATAAAATATTTATTTTATATTTATATTTATTTTATACCTTATACCTATTTTTATTTGTATACCTTTCTGTCTGGCTTTATGTGTCTTTACATGCAGTGCATCTGTAGAAATGACCACTCACACTCAAAAACATAATACATAACATCAGTGCAGTCGAAGTGTTGAGCTGAGAATCACCAGGGGGGAATTTAGTGATTCTGGGGCTCTAGGCAAAAGACAGGAATAAGGTTCCCTGGATTCTCTACACTTAAAGTAGTTCCGGGCTCCCGAGTGCTGCAACCATGCAAAAATGATATGTTGACAAGTGAAATCATCTTATATTGAAATAGCCTATACACCTAATATTTCTCCTTTTTATACTATTGCAAGAATGTTATGTAAAGGGCACTAAATTTTTTATGACGTCCACTTATAACACTTATTGTATTTTATAACAAAAACAGTCATAATTCATTTTTACATGACTATTTTTCAACCTCTATTTTCCCCAACCTATATATATATATCCCCTATATATATATATGTGTGTGTCTGTGTATGTGTGTGTGTGTGTGTGTGCAAAATGTATATATATTTCAGAATAGGTTATTTAATATCAACTCAAAAACTTTACATAATTTGCATTTCTATGGGGCTCTTGGATCATGGGGGCCCTAGGTGGCTGCCCACCGTTGTCTAGTGCCACCCCTGGTAATCACATGCTGAGGAAAGTGCTAAAGGCTTTATCAAGGCTTCTTCACACAGACCTTTACACAGCCTCCTTATCCACCCAAAATTTAGAAAATCTACCTATTGTGTGCTTTTTGAACGACAGAGGTTGAACATTTGAACTTGCGTAATAAAAATAATAAAAAGAAGAAGAAGATGAAGATGAACATGAACATGAAGAAGAAGAAGATGACTACAGATTTTTATTTCTGTTGTGCCTTTCCCAAACCCAAGATCTCTTCAAAACAGTAATGAATACACAGCAACCCAGAGATCAGCAGTAGGCAAAACGTAATACATGAAAAAAAAACTTTTTTATGCACTTGTTTATTGTTACAGTAGAAATGCCTCCAGTGCTTTATTACCTGTATGCATGAATGAAATGTAATGACCTTTATATGTTCATAAAAAAATTATACACCATTTATAGTAAGTAATTCACTAACACAGTGACTAACCTGACTTTTCTACATCTTTGTCAGTACAATATGAGGGATCCTGAAAATCTTTTAACATCTTCCTCAGTTTCTTTGCGATGTTGTGGAGCTGCAAATTTTCCAGCATCTCTGGTAGCTTCCAAAGCTGATGGTCCTGAGCTCTTTGAGTCCATTCATTCAAGCGATACAGCAGATCTTGTTTGCTGGAGCCAGACCTCCACTGCCTCTTCTGCGTTTCAAGCAAACGGACAAACCTTTTCAGTTTGCCATTTCTCAGCTTTTGAGTGAAGAACGTGGGCAAAATGCCTTGGAGTAAAGCTATGCCTCCTAGATAAAAGCAGAAAGAGGTGATGAAAGTTCTGACACATAGCACAACCTAATAACAAGCAGGTTAAAGCAGGGGTGTTAAACCTCTAAAGGGACACAGGACTGCAGAGATCAGTGCTTTTCCTCTTCTAACACAGTGGTTATGCCTCAGCAATTAACGAGAGCAGCATTAATGATTAAATAGAGGAAAATAAACCCAAAATCAGAGCCGTCGAGATGGAATCTTGAATTACATCATTACATCTTCAAGGGTTGACATCACAGTTTTAGGCTCAAAGGAAGGTTGGATATTAAAGCAGTTTACATTGCTAGTATGACTGACAGATGGTGTTATCCTCAATGCTATAAATCATCCAGAACATGGATGAATGAAGGTTTGATCCCCTGTTCAGACAGGAACACTGCTGCTATTCCAAAAGGAGTCCTTTTATATCAGCTCCTAATACTGTGAAACAGCAACCCTAGTTGCTGTTGCCCAGTTGTATCTCCAGCACTTTAGTCAATCTCAAACAAGCTCCTACGTTGAGCACTACAAAAGGCTTGAAACAATGTGGACTACACTGTGAAAGAATTTGGGGTTTACGATCAAACTTGAGTGAATTGAACTTCTAATAGTATGTCAACAGTGCAAGAATCTATGTTTTACACTCTGTTAACTCATCATTTAAAGCTCGATTACCTCAAAATTGTAAGGCAGTCAGGGGCTGTAACTAATTTTTTAAGTTAAAATACCATATTTTCTTTACAGTGTGCATATCCAGTGAAGAACAGTCTGGCATTCAGTTTTGGTTTTCAATTGTTAGGGTAAAGTTCTAACAGGCCAAATCACACGTCCTCACAGGGCAACTTTGGCCCATGGGCCACACTTTGAACAGCCTTGCTCTAAAAGAAAATTGCTCAGAGGTTTCCAAAGTGACAAAACACACGAGACCTCACACACACCCCTGGGTTTGTCACGTGACAGCATGTAATGAAACATCACTGATGATGAGGGGGTTGCATGACTCAGCCTACCTCCGTCTCTGAGCTGACTGCAGGACACACACACATCATCGTGCCAGCTGGTGCCCCGAAAGACCTTGAACAGTGAGCCACTGCAGCCCGTGTGCGGCTTGCACTTGGCATACTCTGAGTTCCCCTCAGAGAACGTCCCTTGCGGGCATCTTTCACACTCTGTGTCTGTGTGTGTGGTGCCTGCAGGGGGGGACAAAATCACAACAATGACTAACAACTAACACACTTAGGGTTCAAGTTAAGTGAGACATCAGGTAAAGTGGAATACCTAAACTTTGTAGCTCTGAGCATTACTGAACAAGAGATATGATGTTGCTGCATATGTCCTTAATATGAATAAACATTGTTTAGATGTTGCTGCATGTGCTGAATGTAAATATTTTATGACAGGTCACCTTTTCCCAGCTAAAGCCACCTCCTTGTTTCTACACGTATTATTCATTTTTTCAGCTCCACTATACAATACAGTACAGGATATACTATATAGGAGCACTTTGTAGTTCTACAATTACAGTCTGTCTGTTTCTCTGCATACTATGTTAACCCCCTGTTACCCTGTTCTTCAAAGGTCAGGACCAGCACAGAGCAGGTACTATTTGGGTGGTGGATCATTCTCAGAACTGCAGTGACGCTGACGTGGTGTGTTAGTGCGTGTTGCGCTGGTCTGAGTGGATCAGACACAGCAGTGCTGCTGGAGTTTTTAAACACCTCAATGTCACTGCTGGACTGAGAATAGTCCACCAACCAAAAGAACAGGGTAAAAGGGGGCTAACAAAGTATGCAGAGCAAAAGATGGACTACAGTCTGTGATTGCAGAACTACAAAGTGCACTTATATGATAAGTAGAGCTGATAAAATGGACAATGAGTGCAGATACCAGGAGGTACTTAATGAAGTGGGTGGTGTATATCATCATATACATAAGCATCTAAATTACTAGTGGAATATTTTATGTCTGCGTTCAATAACTGACAAATTATTATTAAGAGATTATTAAAAGCTGATAATATAATCAGACTGTTAGGGTAGGGGACAGTGGGGATGGTTGGCACAGTTTTCACTCTCTAAAATATAGCTGGATGCCATTTTTACTAACTAAAATGAATATGTTTTCAAAACATTTATATAATTACTCTATATATTACTATGTATTGCTCAGGAAGACTTGTTTCGTTTGTTCTGTGTTTGTTTTATTCATTTTGGCTTTAATGAAAAAACGTTATTTCCCACCTTAACAGATTGTAACGTTCAGAGCTTTTGACAAAAGTGGTGAATGTTGGTCAGTAGGCCAGTCATTTTATCTTACATTTTTGTGAGAGCGCCCCCTGCTGACCTAGAAATTAACACTGTGCCAACCAACCCCGTTCTCCCCCATAGTGTGTAGACACAGGTTCATCATTAGATTATTAAATGTATCTTAGGTGATGTTATTATTATTATGGTTATTGTTATTATCGTTGTTGTTGCTGTTATCATTAGTCTAAATGTATTTTACCGGTCCGTATGGCGCCAAACCCCGGGCTGCAGCGCGTGTGCCTCGCGCACCGATCCGCGCGCCAGTGGTAGCCGGGCACGCACTCGCACTCTCGGTCTGTGGTGGGCGTGCACTCGTGCCGCTCGCGCTGGTTGTGGTCGCAGGGCGCGCGGCAGGGCAGGCAGCGGTGCAGGTAGTTCCAGTACTGAGTGTATTGGCCACTCGGACACGGGAGGCACTCTGTGGGCCTGCTGCGCGTGCACGGCGCTCTCATGTGCGTGCCCGGAGGGCAGAGCGTGCACCTGAGCGGGTGCCCGAAGTCCTCGTAGCTGAACGTGGGTGGAGGGTCCGGGGTTTCAGCAGCGGAGGTGGGCAGCACCACCAGCATCACGACCACCAGCATCTGCAGAAACAAAACACGCGCGCTCAAACTCTTTTACATTACACATTAAAGAGGCGCTTTGAGAGAGAGAGGGAGAGCGAGAGAGAGAGGGAGAGCGAGAGAGAGAGGTTAGACTAGAGCGGCCCTGCCTGCTTACCATGCTGCTCTCTGCTGCTCTCAGAGCGTGGCGATCAGTGCCGCTGAGCTCACTGCGCGCTGTAGGTGTGTGGCTGCGTGTGTGTATGTGTGGGTGCGTGCAGTGAACGCGTGGGTGGAGGGTGCGTCATTAATACTTCACTTTTTTAACTTTTGTGGATGCTTTATGTGCTCTGAGGCTATTTGTAGCAGTGCATCACTGATAAAACACTTTCTGAGAACAACATTTAATAATTACGTCCCATTTATTCATCTGCTAATAAATTAATCAATAATTAGTACGTATTAATCTGCAATCTTAAAAAAGATGCTTCTTCAAGGGTTCTTTAGTAAAGGCAGTAGTTCCATATAGAATCACGAACACTCAAAGAACCATTTAGATGTTTAAACTGTTCTTCGCATGATTGATGGAGACAGTTGTGTATGGTTCTGAATAGTAGCAAAAAGGGTTCTTTTATCATTAGGATGTCAAGCTTGTAACAAAAGAACAAGCTTTATCTCCTTGTGAAATATTAAACATATACATACAATATTCTACGAATAATTCAGATGGTTAATAACATACAATCTATATCTATAATCGACATGTACTGTCTTTGTCAACACCTATGTTTAATGACCTCTAATGACATACACACTTAAAAAGATTCTTGAGGGGTTCTTTAGTCAAGAAAGTGGTGATGAACATTTTCTTCACTAAAAAACCCTTTGAAGAACCATAAATTAATAAGTGTGTATCATTCATAATCTGGACTAATCTACTAATAATCTGTCTAAATTTCCAATCTATGCAAAATATGTTAGTATTCTGTGTCTAATAATCTATGCTGATCTATGCTGAAATATTCCGATATTTATTTTCCCAACAAACGGTCACTGTGGAAAAGTGACCTAATGTAAAAGATTCATGTTCAGCCCACTTAAATGCAGTGTCAGTGTGGGCAATAGAGAACACTGATACCATGAAGTAATTTCTGATGTGCCAAAAGAACAAAAATTCTCATTGCAAAACCTGTAAAGCCAGTATTTTTGGGGTGACGTCCAACATTTCTAGCACCTTTGGTTAAGATGAAGAACAAAGTACAGATAAAGAGACAAGGGAATACAGAAGATATGTGACCTAGAGTCTTAGAATTAAGGGATGGAAGAACAAAAGAAAGAAAAACATTGTGTGTTTGAGTCTTTGAACTCGTCTTCATCAATAACTTTACTGATTCCAGTGCTAAATATAAAATAAGCACCAAACACTCACCTGTCCACATGAGAACAAACACACCAAAATGTAATGATACGAAAGCCACTGCTCTTTATTAAAGGGGAATTCCACTGATTTCTCCAAATAGCTGCATAATTAAATAGTTAAGATGTAAACAGTCATTCAGAGAGGTTTGGTGTAAAATGCTGTTCTAGAGAAATTTACAGAGTCAGAACTGTTCACACGTCTGATGAGCTTATTGGCCTTAAAAGTTCTAAAACCACAGAAAGCTATTACACAAAATGGTTATGAATATGCTGTTGTTTTACATTGGTTTTGAGATGAGGTTCTGGCCTAAAACATTAAAAAAAACATTAATGATGAGAAGTCCAGAAAACCTGATACTGTTCTTTTATCATTACCAGAATTACATGTAACAACTTAGAATACATGTATAGGTCCTCTGTCTCTGTTTTTTTCCTCTCTTTTTCTGTTTTAAACTTTTCTATAAACAACCCGACTTGTCTCAAATGTGAAATAATCCCACATCACCAGTATGACTGTTTCAGTTATGGTCCATTGACTGGTGTCATCAGAAACTGCTTCATGGCATGGGTATTCTCTATTGTCAATACCAGTACTGTATTTAAGTGCCAGAATCTGCACCAGAGCAACACTACTGTCAACATCAGATAAACAGTACTTAAAGCGTTCATCTCTGAGATATGAGAGATAGATGACGTTCCACACTTGCTTCAGATCTGAAAAAAAACCCCGCAGGTGTTTCTGTCAATCCTTCCTCTGCGAGAAGACAACTCCACCCTATGAGTCTGAAAGGATGAGTGGCTGTCAAGAAGCTGTTACTGTGAAAAGAAAATAGAAAAAGTCCAGAAGCTATAATAAAACTAAAAAGTGGACACTAAATACTGGAAAAAGGAAATATAGTTGTTGAGATTTCTTTGTAATTTTCTGTTAAATATGTTTTCTGTTTTTCCTTTTGCTGAAAAATGAACTTGTACTTAATGGATGTTTTGACTGGAAATTAAATAAATGAATAGTGATCTCTGACTTCTGCTGAATTAGGAACTATTACCAGAAACTTGTGGTTGTGGCTCAGTCTTTTTCTCAGGACATTTTTAGTTTTCAGCGCGTAGCTCACAGATATTTAGACCATTACTCATAATTCAGCTGACCATATACAAACGTGTACATGCACACACCTGCGTCTACACAGACAGGCAAATTTAAAGGTCAACTTCACTTCCTAATGATAGGGGTGGAACAAAAAGATTTCTGTAATGATAGGGACAGCAAGGGACTTCCTTAGAGTCAGTGTACTGCACTATCAAGATCACATAATGGAAAACCAGCTTCAAAAGGAAAACCAGCTCCAAAAGGTCACTTCAGGCATGACTACTGTAAAACAACTGTATGACTACAATCATGTTTCAGCTTCTCAGCTTCTGTTACACTTTTCCTTTCACAATGACTAACACCAAGTTCCCCAAAACCAAGTCCTAACTGTATACCATTACAGGAGAAATAGCAAGGCTGCTGCAACGTGAGCACCGACGGCACAGTCCCGCCAGTGCTTTCTATGCTGCTGAGATTTCCGAGTTTGGAGAAGTCCTTTTCTTAGAGCGCCGACGGAGGCGTAGCTCTCTGATCTACGGCCAGGTCCACTCATGCTGGTTTCAGCAACAGCAAACAAAAATCCAGGCATGGAGGCTGTGCGGAAGCCAACAAGTAGAACCAGGGCTGAAGCAATATTTACCTAAGGTGCACAGAGAGAGCACGCGTGAACGCAAAGACCTGTCATTATGTCCAGCACGTGAGACTCACCTAATGACTAAAATTATAGTGGGAAAATTCTGCTAGACAATACGTTCCTGTTTACGGTTACTTAAAAAGAGCACACAGGGAGGAGACATTCAGTAAACTCTGCGCTGGTCCTGGGAAAAGGGAATCAGAGAGTGAGCTGGACACATTTTCGTGGCTTTCAAGGTGTGGAAAAGTGCGGTCAGGGCATCTAAATGTTAGGATTCAAGAAAACTGGCACAGTAGGTTTGAGCTTTCTCATGGAAGAAAACCCACAGCTCAGATAACCACCTCACATTGTGTAGTTTAACTACTAGAAAAATTTCTAGTCACAACCAGCTTTGAGCTTCAAAAAAACTTCAAACCTCCCTGTTCCGACAGCAAACGGTCGTCTGTGCTGCGTCAACCCAGCGTGGGGGATCTCCTACAGAGTCTGTCTCCCAGCTGACCCTTGTGGGCTTTTTGTGATTTAAAACAACAAATCATTCCATGAATTACTCACTTTGAATCCCAGCCTCTGCTTGAACCGCCTTAAAACAGAAACTAGTCTTTTACACAGGTGGTGAGTCAGCGCACTCACACTTCTGCTTTACAAGCCGAAGCATGAGTCAGCCAGTCACTAATCCTGGCTCTTCCAGTGGAAGTAACCCATCGGTCCCAATTCCCAAACCAGCTTCCTCTTTCTAAATATCACTCTTGGTCATGATGCGAGGAAGCCTGGTTTCAGATGGATAGCAAAGAGCTACATCTACTAGCATATGACCGGGTGAGAAGGATGTTCCCTTTTCAAACAGTCACATGGAGCCACTTTCAGTCATATTAGGACATGCTGGTTTGAACAGCACGTAAGCGAAAGTAGAAAGAAGTTCCTTCTTCCAGTGGCTAGCACCATGTGACATTCAAAATGATGTACCTTTGAGACAGGAAAGGTGTGCACACAGAGAATTGATTCATACAAAATTTTCAATGCAAAAAATATATAGTTAAATATTTACACAAAGGGATTTCAAAAGTACACTCAAAACATACAGCGAAGAAAGAAACGCAGGACAAAGGCTGCAAAGAGGAGTGTCAGGGAGTTCCCCAGTTCTCTGAAATACGAGCAAATTCCCAACTTAACTGTGAGCAAAAATAGCATCAGAGGAAATTTAATCCCATTATGAATAAAGAAAATAGTATGTAATATGCAGCCCAACATGCAATATAAAAAACATGAAGACAGCTTTGACACAGAACTGTATATTTAAGTTAGGCTGTGGAAATATTTACCTTGTGTATCTTGACATACGTATGGCACTAATACGATCTTTATATTTAGCCACATGTTTACAGTGCACATCTAGTTCAACATGTTGCTTGTCACTGCCACCTTATTATGAAGTAAACTATTCATATAAAATAAAACTGTTAATGTAAAAAAGCCACAAAAATAAAATAAAATAAACAAATAAAATTTGCTTTCAAATATGAAATGTAGCTTCAGATTCCAGTTTTCTGACAAATTGATAAATAGAAAAATGTTTAGAGCAAATTTGGATAAACATAAACCTTAAACACACCATTACTTAAATAAAACACAATTGCACTCCATTGTACTGTACATTCATATCCGACATTCTTTTGTTTAGAGCTTTAGTAAAAGCAGTCCAACAAGAGATGAGAAAAGCAGGCCACAAAAATATTTTTGTCCCTTATTGCCTCTACTGAAAACACCAAAACGGAACCCCACTCACCCCTTCTGTCCCACTTTTTATCCAAAAGTGAAATTATATACACCTCTTTCTGCAATTAAATAATTCTTCACCTCAGCCGTCCTTCCTACGCTTCCAGGATATTAGTCATTGTAGGGTTTGGATTTGAAGCATGAACTGTCCTGGAGCATGTTGACAATCATTTTTTCATACACGCGGTGCACGGACGAGGTGCTGATGACACGGATGATCCGTTTCAGAGACCGCAGCAGGGGCCGTGGGGCTCCACGTGGGCGCAGCTTGCGCAGGCTGTGGGACAGAGCCTTGACCAGGTCCTGACCACCATTCTGGCTCTTCCACAGGTGAAGCAGCTGCACAATGTAGCGGTGTGAAGGGCAAGAGAGAGCCAATGCCTGCACAGCCTCCTCGCTCACCTTCTCTCCAGGGAGGCTGTCCATGAGCTCCAGCAGGTCTCCCAGTGTCACGTTCTTCAGGCTAGTGCAGCGAGACACCTTCCTTTCACAGTGGCTCACACCTGGAGCAGAATATAGCAGAGGGGTGAGCTACGGACAGAAGTGACCCTCATTCAGTTAAGCCAAGAGAAAACCTGCAGCCCACTAGTAAACTCTATTATTATAGCAGATATAGGTCCAGATGTACATACGAGTGCAGGTACAGTGCAAAATGTGCCTTGATGCGACTATATGCGGCTACAGTGGACCTGAATTTGACGTTCAGCTTACTAAGACCCCCTTTACACCTGGTTGTTTAATGCGCCTTGAGCATCAGGATTATATCTGCATAGAGATTATCCCCAAAAAACACAGGTGTAAACGCACCGAAGACAGAACAGTGCTTTGCTGTCTCGCCATGACATAACAGCCATCTTCTTGTAAACATTGATGTAAAGCCTGTAACTTTTAAAGCGGCGACCATCTTTTTGCCTTATTTATAAAACATACCTGAATTTCATGAGAAATGCACTCTTAAGAATAGTTCTTAGCATTTGCATGCAAAAGATTTATAAAATGAATGTACGTTTTAAAAATATGTTATTTATAAATCATAAACTGTAGTAAAAATGAGCACGTGAACAAGCTTTCCAACTTCACCCATCTTTTAATTGATGTACTTAGATTGAGTGTAGCTTCAGTACTTAATGAACCATAAATGCTTAAACAGCATTTGGCAAACTTAACTTGACCTTTTCATAAAATGCTTTTTTTATGTTGCATAAATGTCTCTCTGCCACATCCCCTTTCCAAAAAAAGCCTTTCTTGGGATTCCAGACTGTTACAAAATCTTTCGTGGGAGGATGTTTGTACATCCTTCATGACTACCTTTAATGACTTTTTAAACTGGCTCTGGGTTCTGAGGTTTCTTTCCCACTCAAACTATTCTTATTTATTTCTTGTATATATCATGCCTCAATTCAAACATCTTTTTAGTTTAGCTGTTTTCACTAATGCTTCAAGACTGAAATTAAATATGACCCTCAGGTTTTATGGCTGTTTATTTTAAATCAGTACACACACAGCCTATATAATGCTATCCAAAACCATGTATAAAAGACAGTTTGCATGCAATACCCCATCGTTTAAAATTTCTAAAATTCAATCAACTTTGTTAAGCTGAAATAAAACAGCATTACCCTGAATGATTCTGAAGACGTCCCAGAGGAAAAAAATCAAAAATAAATCTCTGTAGTTCGTCCTAGACTTTAATGAGATCAGATGGAAAGAAAAAGGAGACTTTTGCTGAAGTCTTCTGCTTCTCAGACGTTTGCTCTAAACAAAAGACCCAGTAATCTTGCATGTTTCTCCTCATTAGTTTCAGTGGAGATCTCAGCAAGTGACACATTGTGCTCAGATTTGCCGAGATCCTAACATTCTTCTTTATATATACACACACTTAGAAAAAATAGCACATATACGGTGCACTCAATAGAGTAGTAGGTAAAGTACAGAAGTGTGTGGTTTGGGATGCGGCATTAGAACAGCCAGTGAGACACGTTCAACAGTCAAGGAGTTGCAGTGGCTATTATAGCTCTGCTGTGGTGCTCGTTAGCTGCTAATGAAACATTTCCAAATTAATGTTTAAGGTATTTCCTGATTAAAGATACATTTATTGAGGTAAATTAATGCATTTATTGATGTAAGCTGATGTTGGCTTCTTATTTGCCAGCTTCTTGTTTGAAATTCGTTCTTTGTTTAAGGCACCTCAATGTAACTGCTGCACCATTTAAGGTGGGATAGATGATTCAAATAAGATCTGGTGAATAAGAAGCTAACTTTACATGAGAGCAGAGCTTTAATAACCACTGGAGCTGCTGGACTATGGAATGCATCTCACAGGCTGGCGCGTCCCAAACCACACACTTCTATACTTTACCTACTACACTAATGAGTGCACTTTGAACAGTATATGCGCTTTTTCTTTTAACTGTATATGTGCTATTTTTTTGCATACTGTTTAGGGCGCTAGTATGTGGTTTGGGGCACGAAAATAATAACACGGCATGAAATCTCAGCTGTTTAGATTTTAACTTTCATTTGCTATCGCTACAGCAACAAATCAAATATCACTTAATATAGAACACTCAAATATTTCAGTTAATTTGCTTTAAAAACTGAATGTTCCAAAACCTTTACTGGATCAGCTATGGCTTTGTTATCTCATAACAGACTGCCACCGCACTCCCTAGTGAACAAGCTGCCTATCAAAATGGTGGCAGCGCAATTGTGTGACTGCTTTGGAATACTATGAACTGGCAAACTAAACTCTCATCTCACCTTTACCTCTCCTGTATGTCATGCCTCTTTCTCCGACTATATCTCCTAAAGAATTTTAGAAGAGTCACAATCAAGTATACTGAGCCATCAAAGAGCAACATTTGATTAATGACGTTTTCCTCTGGGGAAAAGGCCCTAATGGAACATCTGAATGAATCTGTTTTAACTGAGAATATCTCGGGGCTATCTGAGGTCTATCGTGAGGTTATCAGAAGTGAGTCACAGCGGAAACTTCAGCTGGCCAAAAACTGTCCATGTGCACTGTTCTGTGAAGCATAAGCTGTCCTAGAGCACTTTCACAAGTATGCAAATGAGCTGCTACACCAAATTTAAGGCAAGGAAAAGGAAATGCAAATTTGTCATCCTAAGTTACAAAAAAGCAAGTAACCCCTAATTACTTAGGAAAATAACCGGCATTTTTCAGAATTCACACTGTCTGACATTCACGAGCAGTGTGACGGAGTTATCCGCTCACTAGGATATGTCTCAAATAACGATTACTTCTTTTTTCATCAATATTTTGTTGTCTTGTTTTAATATGAAGTCTATTTCAAAACACGCACATATGCAGTTTAAGTCACTGCAATGATTGGACGATGATAAGAACCTGAGTCGACCAATGCCCAGTCTATGTCCCTGTCAGAAAAATACATTCTCACGTATGCAACATGCTTTACTAGATTAGGCACAAAGGCCTGGGAGAAGTCCCTGGCAGCCAGATCCTCTAACCTTGGATGATGCTGTACAGTTTGTCTTGGTCTTTATTCTTCTCCCGCCATAGACGCAGCAGATGCAAGGCCTGCTGGTGGGGGCTGCAGTTCTTCTTCAGCCGTTCCACACTCTTCCATTCCACCTTACGTCCGGGCAGGCTCTCCAGCAAGCGCTCTACTGGTACAGAAGCTAGTGGTGGAGACGACATGAACTGGAATATGACCTCCTCACACAGGGTGATGTCTGGGTGGAGGGACAGAAAGAATCAAGAAGGAGTGTAGGATTACGAAATGGAGAGAGATTGAAAGGACAGGAAAAAGAGGGGGGCGGAGGTTCAAGAGCACACAACAGACAAGTGAAACATGAACCTAAGAATTCCATTACCAGCTATACTCAAAAGTCAAAAGTATGATGTGACTAGCTTGGCAGAACATTTGCTGGCATGACATCATAAGATTTCAAAATGTGGGATACCCAGGCATGACTACTGACAGACCTGTTGAATCTAAACACCACTTAAATAGAATGTGTCTGGCCATGTGAAGCAGGCTAGAAGGTCTCAAAAAGTAGCATGATGCCATGTTCTAAAGTGATTTAAAGACAGATGCAAAACAAAGTCACTCAAGTGTACCAGTCTGGAAAGGTTTACAAAGCCATTGCTAAGGCTCTGGGACTCCAGCGAACCACAGTGAGAGCCATTATCCACATATAGAGAAAACTGGGAACAGTGTTGAACTTTTCCAGGAGTGGCCGGCCTACCAAAATTTCACCAAGAGTGCATCCACGACTCACAGAAGTCACTAAAGAACTCAAAAGAACATCTAAATAACTGCAGGCCTCACTTGCCTCAGTTAAGGCTAACATACAAGATTCCCCAATAAGAAAGACACTGGACAAAAATGGCATCCATGGGAGAGTTGCAAGGTGCAAACCACTGCTGACCAAACAGGACACAGGCTCATCTCACAATTGCCAAAACACATCTAGATAACCCCCAAGACTTTTGGGATAATATTTTGTGGACTGATGAGTCAAAGGTGGAACGTTTTGGAAGACATGAGACATACTATATCTAGCGTAAAGCTAACACCGCATTCCACCATAAGAACAACAAACCAACAACCAAACATGGTGGTGGTAGTGTGATGATCTGGGGCTGCTTTGCTTCTGCAGGACCTGGGCAATGAGTCATAACTGATGGAACCATAAACTCTGCTCTCTTTCAGAAAATCCTGAAGGAGAGTGTCTGTCTGTCACTTTGTAACCTAAAGCTCAAGCACGGTTGGGTTATGCAGCAGGACAATGATCTCAAGCACACAATCAAGTCTACCTCTGAATGGCCTCTGAAAAGGAAGGTTTTGGAGTAGCTGAGTTGAAGTCCTGACTTAAATGCCATTGAGATGCTGTGGAAAGACCTTAAATGAACAGTTCATGCTTGAAAACCCTCCAACATAGCCAAATTAACACAATTCTGTAAAGAAGAGTGGGCCAAAATTCCTCCACAGTGATGTTAAAGACTCATCGCAAATTAGCGCAAACGCGAGGGGGGTGCAACCAGTTACTAGCTTTAGGGAGCGATTACTTTTTCACATGAGTGATACAGGTTTTGGATAAATCTTTATCTTCAATAAATGTAATGATTACTTAAAAGCTGCATTTTTGTTTATTGTTGTCTTTATCTCATATTAAAATTAGTCAGATGATCTGAAACATTTAAATGTGACAAATTTGCAAAAATAGAAAAAATAAGGTGAGGGGCAAATACTTTTTCAGAGCACTGTACTCTCTCTGAGTGGGTAGGATGGCCCTCCCTGTGCCCTGTCACTTAGCACAGTGAGAATCAGCAAAAACTAAACTGGGAGGGGTGGTGTTGGGCATTTGGACTGGGATTCTGAGAATATGAAGCTGGTCTTGAAAACCAGCCCCTCCTGTCAGTTTTCCAAGTTCTTCATTTTAAGTTAAAATATGCAATCTATTTTTGTTTTTGTAAGTCAACACAAACCAAGAAATTATTATTGTGACACTAGTAGTAACTATAAGTAGTAATTTGAGGCATAGTGATAACACAGCAAATTTGACTGTGTACTTCCAGGGAAGACATTCCATGCAAAATCAAATTTCTTTTGGACAGTGTGGTTTCATAAACTGTTAAAATGAAAATACCCAATTTGCAAATCTCAGCATATAATCTGGAAAAAGCTAAGACTGCATAACTGTAAAGTAAAGAATCTCAGACTGAATAGCCGAGAAGGAGCTGAGCATAAAATGGAAAGATAAACTTTGACATCCTCCCAGGATGAAGAATATCCTTGAAACGATCCTGTCCTCTGACTCAGCTTCCTTCTTAAATTGTCAAGGATATGACATCACTCTATAATCGATTCCTCATGGCACCAGCAAAACCCAAATGCAAGTGCTAAATAAACTTGAATACTTGTCATCATTAACTGACAGTCTTGTATAGTCAATATATATACTTTTAAGTAAATTCATGTATAAAGTACATTTTTGAATAAATACATATATCTAAAAAAAGAAACAGAACATTTCTCACAAATTGTATTAGAACATTAGAACAATTTTTTTTAAAAAAGACATAACATTTTACTCCTCAGCTGCCACAGATTTTGAATTCGCATGATTTGTAGCCACATGATTAGCTATTGATGTGTTAAATGCAAAATGTATGCTAATGTGTTATCAAATTGACCAAATGGTCAATTAACTGGGATGGAGAATTGGTCTGAAACTAAATGACAGTGGGCAGTTTTGTAAAGGAAGCATGACATGTCTAAAGAACACAAAAGAAACATCTGAAAGGAATAATGATTTATGAAATTAGGCTACTAGTGTATCAGTTTGCCTGATATACATTTTCTGAAGATAAACAAATCCACAGTGATGTTAAGATGAGAGAGACTCTTTGTCTAGTCTAGGAAAGTGAGGCCACCCGGCTTGTATATCCGGGCACCCGACTTTATAAATTGGCCTCCGAGAAATGAAAGAACGCACCTAATCTGAAGTCATATATCTGTCAGGCAGCAATAAGTGTCAAAGAGAATGTAAGTCTGCTCCATGTGGTCAGCCGACATTATGTTAACATAATACTAAGCACTGTGTTAACATTATGCTTTCAATTAGGACCCTGCACTTACACCTTAACCACTAACAAATGACAGCCCCTATTCAAACAGTATAAGTATATGTCAAGGCCATGGCTGTGCTCACCATTGTTGCACTCTGCAAGCTGACGGGAGCAGTCGAAAGTGTGCTCACTCTCGCATATCGCATCCTGGGTGGCTGTACCCTGCCTTAGGGTCTTCAGGCCCAGCTGGGAGCACCCCCGGTGAGGCTGGCAGGGCTCTGTGGCTGAGTCCACACTGGAGAAAAAGCCCTGGGGACACTTCTCACACACAGTGTCACTGTCAGGCGTGCCTACAAAATAAACACATGCATAAAAAAGCATAAAAGAATGCCTAAGCATTTAGCTGCACTGTTTTATTTTTTATAAGGGCTTTGTTTAAGAGACAATGTATATGGTTATTGCTTTTAATCCAAAACATCAAAGGCTAAATCGATCTGCTAGGGAAACTTCTAGTCCATTACTGACAATCTGGGGTCTAAAATGCAAATATCTGCAGCGTGAGTTATCTCAACCGTTCAGGAGCAGCAGGTGGACACAGCACACAAGTTCCTCTTTTTAACTAAATAAAAGACGAAACGGGCATCTCCCATGTTTAGTCAGACTCCTCACCATGACTCACATATGTTAAAATGTTTCTGGGAAAGAAACAGTGGGTGTTTAACACCTGTCTCTGCTAATGCAAAAAAGGTCTGAGGTGCAACACAGAAAGAAACAACTTTCTTTTAAAAGGCAGCGAAGCAGCTATAATATAAATACTACATTAATTCATTATTTATTTCTTCATTTTTACCACTTTGGAATACCTTTAGCTCTTCTCATGCTTACGTGAAAATGTGAATAAGTAGAGGATACAGATTTTAACAGAAGCTCAAAATAGATGTTAACCACTTAAAATCGCAGGCTTACTACATACTAAGGCTTATCACTCACTAACTACAGGGACTTCAATGCAAACTGGCCAAGCTATTCTTCGGTTATAGAAGTGTGCAATAAAACTTTGGGCCTGTCAGTAGGCCCTGGCCATTTAATATAGGATATAATAATACAGGATATATGTAACAGGTCCTGAGTTCCTAGCTGAATGTGTCAGGGTCCCTTTGAAGGTGTTAGGGCTCCTGGTAAATTACCAAAAAAGTAAAACAAAACTCTGAATCACACTGACCAGCTCTATATCTGATAATGATGACCCCTTAATATACAGTGTCACTGTATGATAAACGTGAATGAAATCTATTTAAGTGCTTGTGCTTTACAAGGTGTGTAGTAAGTCAAAGCAAAGACACGCACAGAAATTAGAAACCGTTCCTTATTTGCTGAACAGTTCTGCATTCAAAAGATCTCTGTCGCCATCTTATGGAACAAAATTTCTTTGCCACAACAAACTCCAGTGTAAAACCAAGTTCTGACAATAAGCAAAAAAGAGACAACACTGTCTGTGATGTGCAAACCATATATTGTCCAAGTCTAAGGAAACTGTTCCACTTCCAATTATGCATGATAATCCTAGCTCACATCACTCCTTTTTGCAATAAATCATTCTTCTTCAGACAGACAGAGTGTTTGTTTGGCCAGAGAAATCTGTTCCCTAGGGTGCAGACTCCTTAAACTAGAGATTTGAAGCACAAAGACAGAAAGATAAGGAAGACCCTGATTAGTAGAATCTCCAACAGTGTACAAAGATTTAAAAGGAAGTCATGGATGTACGTGGGGAAGCCAATACGTTAACAGTGGCCCATGCTGCTCTATCTAATGAACAGACATGTCACTCAGAGGTGAAGCTGTTGCCAGGGGAGCATGGGCTTACTTTTACCTGCTGTCCTTCTATCGCAACTGCATCCGTTGAAACAACAAATACTCTGATTAACATTGGCCCAAGCAAACACAAATGCACCGCCAAGCGACTCACCGCCTGCCAGGCAAAACAAAGGAGAGACATTTGCAGATTGTTACAGAAGATACACTCCCCCCTTCGTTTTCTTAATGCTGACACAGGTTATTAAAGGTGGAAAATGGGAGTCAGCAAGGCGAGAGTATATCCAACCTCAGGCTCTGCTCACAAGATGACTGACTGTGAAGGCTGTTTTGAGGTCTAGGCCTCCAGGCTGTTTCTAGAATGGAGCGGGAAATGAGACGAAGTGAACTGATTTTGGGAAGCAGAGAAGCACTCTTACACTGCGCAAGACCAGCAGGTAAAGCTTTTGAACATGAACTATGAGAAAGCACTGAAAGAGCTGGACTTGGCCAGGAGACGGACATGTTTCTTTTAGAATATTTTATAGCAAAGAATAATACGGGATCGCTGTCAAAAAAAGTTCTTACCCAGCACGGAGACACCTGAGCCTGGCGGACAGGCAGTGTGTGGGACGCAGAATTCCACCACCAGGTGGTAGCCAGCTATGCATTCACAAATACGATCGTGTGTACTGTTGCACTCCCTCCGGACAAGCTGTCTCTCCTTGCAGACTGAAGTACAGTGCTGGCAGCTGTCTCCCCAGTGCCACTGCTCTGCGAAGCGCCTCTCAGGGCAGGGGGAGCAGATGGTGGGCTTGCTGGAAGTGCAGTGGTGCTCCACAGCTGTGCCCGGTGGGCACTGGTCACACAGCAGCATCTCAGAGGTGATGGGATCACGATGCAAGTACTTGGGCGTCTCATGGTAGGCCCAGGCAAAGGACATGAAGGACATGACGAAAAGCTACAGAAAGGGAGAAGACAATGGAAATAAGAGGTTTGTATGCACGTTCTGTATGTTGTATCATGTTCAGAATCAACAAGATACATTTGGATTTATGTGTGTGTGCGTGTGTGTGTGTGTGTGTGTGTGTGTGTTGGGGTTGTGCATGTTGGGGCAGGCTATTATCCGATATTGCCAGAGAACCAGAAGACAAACGATTAAGACCGTATGTGGTCCAGATGTCCTGAGCGCAGCATCATCACTGAGCAATTTTACACTGCGGACTTCCCCGTCACCCATCTGCCATGAACAACAATATGCGGCAGATCCTGCTATGGCCGTAGTGCGACTGCGCTTGGCTTCAGTTCAAATGAGCAAGACCCACAAGAAGGGGAGAGCAGGCGAGCTAGCCATAAACCTCGCTCTGCGGTGTCTCCAGACCAAACATTGTGTTCTCCACAGCAGGTGGTGGGGCTCAGCGAGGAAATCATTAAGTCCTCAAGCTCATTTTTTAGCATGGGGGAATGCCACACGTATGGCAATCAAACAGTGGAAAAGCCAATGAACTTTTAGCCTTTCGCTGCTGTGATGAAGGCTGCCATTTGACGACGTAGGGTACAGAATTGTAAACCAAAATTACACGCTAGTATAGGACTTCTGACGACTATAATTACACCATTTGAATGATCTGAAGGAACCTCACAAAAGATGAGTCTTATGGCCTATAGCCAACTTCAGATTCAAACATCTGATTTCAAGGTATGTAGCTTTTAACTCAGCCAGACTCAGCACGCTGTTCCACAGCAAAGCTCCTCAGTTTTAAGACTGCAACTGGGGAACCGTGAAACAGAGTCATGTTCAGAGAGGAGGTTCAGATCTCATGCTGCATGAGCCAAAAGTAATGCAAGGCGATGACCCAGACCATTGACCCTGAGAACCAGTACGGCATATCTCCCTTCTCTTGCCTTATAGAATCTAATAATTTGGAGTTTGCAGACTGTCATTCCTCTTCCAAAAAATCCTACAGCACTGGAAAGCTGTCACAGCCTTTTCCTCTGAGTAAGGCCCTGTTGAACTGGAAAGAACAATAGTGTAAGATACTCCTCAGGTGGTATAATAGGACGCAAAGCATTCACAAGGTCCTTTGAATGACCTCATGCAGACCTACATCAGCGCCGAACTCTGGCAGCAAAGCTCCCTCATTTTGGCCCCTGCAGAAGCTTCGCTTACTGCTTGGGAGGCCTGGCATCAAACGAGCATGTGGCTCCCCAACATGCCCATCACAAAGTCATCAACCTCACACACGACACACAGATGAGAGAAGATTAAAAAATGCTCACTTTCATATACACAAGCCACAGAACCAGAGGCAGGATTACACAAGTTAACAAGCTATCAACAACCCTACCATGACATCAGCTGCCATGTTTGATCCATTCTAAGTAAGAGGAGACACCACAACATGAAAATGGAAACAAACAAGTTACAGGCACAATCAATCAGTCCAATTATCTAGACTGATTTCCTGATTAAAGAGTTTCTCCAAGGCACACTGTACACTGTACCGTGGGCACACTGTATTTTAGTTTTGAACCTATGACCAAACATTAATCTTTCAAGAATAATTCTGAGGACATCAACACTAGCCCTTAAACAAACCCTCGCAAAAAACTTCCACTTGTTGATTATATCCATGTGACATTTAAGAAATCTGAAATATGAAGAAGAAAAAGAAAAAATACAGTAATTCAAAATGTTATACATAAGTTATTTGTCACGTTACTGTTTTAAATTTCTACACTGTCTTCATTTTTACTCTGCACTGCATATCCACCTACTTATAAAGCTGTAAACTTTGACTCATAAATTGTTAACAGTTCAGCTCTGGTAATGGCTTAAAGCAGTAAACAGGGGAGTGGGTGTAATATTTTTATTATTACACATACTGTTTGCTCTTATCTTTATCTGTGGTCTTTGTAGACAATCTGATATTTTGTCTGCATAACTTAAAAACAAGAACGTTAGCAACTCTCAGCCGTTTGTCATCTGGCAGGCTATCATACAAGTGGCACTTCAAAAAGACAACAATGACCTTCAGAGACCATACTACCAGTTCTGATCCAAAAGAGGAACTTCTTGCTCTGTACTTCCTTTCATGATTATTTGTTCCTATTTGAATAAACGTTGTAGGCTCATATCTTGTTTAATGTCACCCTAATCACTGTATTAAAAAAAAGATGTTAATTTAGTGGGGCTACCTTTTATTCTTTGTCAAGACAGATAGGTATAACAGTGTTGTGGAGGGTGGGGTAGGGGGTTGAGAGAGAGAGAGAGAGAGAGAGAGAGAGAGAGAGAGAGAGAGAGAGAGAGAGAGAGAGAGAAAGACAAACACAGACCACATAGAATGAGGGAAACAGTAAGAGAAAACAGAAAGAGATAAGGAGACACAAAAAAAGAGAGACAGAGAGCAAGAGAGAGAGAGAGAGAGAGAGAGAGAGAGAGAGAGAGAGAGAGAGAGAGATTGACAGAGAGAGAGACTGAAATCCATACAATGACAGGTAAAGGAGAGACAGAGTGACAGACAGTGAGATATAGATAAAGACAGGGAGAGAGAGACAGTGAGAGAGAGAGAGAGAGAGAGAGAGAGAGAGAGAGAGAGACTGACAGCTGACAGACAGAGACAGAGAGACAGGTAGATATAGGGAGAGGGAGACAGAAATAGAGACAAGAGACAAATTGACAGGAAGAAATAAGTAAGGGTAAACAGACAGAGAGAGATAGACAGATAAAGGTAGGAAGACAGAGAGAGCGAGAGACTGACAGACAGAGAAATAGGTCAAAGTAGAGAGACAGACAGACAGAGAGATAAACAGGTGAAGGTAGAGAGAGAGAGAGGGAGAGAGACAGTCAGACAGACAGACAGACAGACAGACAGAAAAATAAATCCAGATACAGGCAGGCAGGCAGAGAGAGATAGACAGATAAAGGCAGAGAGAGAGAGAGGTAGAGAGGTAAAGGTAGGGAGACAGAGAGAGAGAGAGACAGATAAAGGTAGGGAGACAGAGAGAGACAGATAGAGAGGGACTGACTGACAGAGAGAGAGACAGTTAAAGGTAGGATGAACAGAAAGAGATAAACAGGTAAATGTAGTAAGACAGAGAGAGAGTTTATTTTTCACCTGCTCCTTATCACAACTAGCTAACACTTCTGCTGTCACATTCCACCCCAACACATCTCCAAATCCTCATGGTCTCTCCACAGGGACTCACATGGCCTAAAGCAGACTAAAAGTTCCACATAAAGGCCCCATATGGAGAGGCCATGTTCACAGGTCCTAGTGGACCTGGATTATTTCTGTTATCTGATACACATCGAAACAAGGATACATGCAAATCACACTGCAGGACCATGTACGGCCAACATGCAAAACACATGAAATAAGTGCCACAGTCACGAAAGCAATCACTATGTGTGTACACCGAAACCACTGAAAGTGTTGTCATAACTGCTCCATATTATCAATCCATATCATAAAAATGATCAATGTTTCATCATGCCACTCCATGTTATCCCCAAGAGGGGGTTTCCAACCCAGTGCAGTCTTTTCTATTCTTGTATTGAAACTGCGCAGGCAGTGCAGAATTCCCATCAAAAGTCCATCTTAGGTTAGGACTAGGTTTAATCTGTGAGTGCTAAATCACTCCATAGACTAAATCAGTAGATCACAGACAACAGACTGATTTAACTTCAACTATAATATTAACAGTCAGCTACAAAATGTGCATGAGAGATCATTTTTAATCCTAAAAACGGACCAGAATAAAGATGAAACGTTATTATTAATAGATTTAGGGTCATTAGATGGTATTATGTACAATAACACACAAAAAAATATTAACCCACAGGGCATAAATACATTTTTTGTCTAAAATTTGCCTACTACTGGAGTAAACACGTTGGAGAAGTATAATATGACAGCAGAGGAGAGCAGTGCAGTATATTTTTTCAGCTAACTTAGAGGACGATATGACATAACACATGTTCGTCTAGTTTAGCCTTCTAACTGTTTAACTGTGGAAAAAAAATGTAATAAAAAACCGTAAAAGCTCGTTGGGAAAAGCTTATAAGTCACAGGTGGATAGAGAACTAACTTAGCTTGCTCAGCTAATTTACAATGAGTCTTTTTCCACCTCACAGAGCAGTGAAGCTCATTCTTACTAAGCACCACTGACACGCTGTTAGCACTCTTGTCTCAGACGTTCAACAAAACATTCTCGCTATAAGAGGAAAATGATGGTTTCTTAAACAGCTTTGTCTCGGTGTTTAACCTGCATAAGCAGTGAACAGCTCCTCGCGGAGTAAAGCATTTAAACCCGTACAGATTTCACTGCAGTTACACAGCTGAGTTAAACCGTTAGAAACCCGTTAGATTTAACTGCCACTTCGCAACGGCCTTCACGTGCCGGCACACTCAAATATGAAAAAATAAATAAATAAAATAACGCTGGCTCAGTGCGAGAGACAGACAGGGAGGCTAACGTTAAAGAATCTGCTCGACCCTCAAAGAGAGTTAAAGTTTCTTGATTTTCTTACCATGTGTACTTTCATCGCTGTCCGCAGCGGCATATCTCCTCGGATAAGTGTGAACCACTCGCTCCATTACTTTTATAGTAAAGGATAAGGGAGCTGCGCCCACCCACTTTATGTCATTTATTTTTATTTTTTTTCCTACCCGTATTCCGACAGACTCCGCCTTCCTGCACTAGGATTGGCTGTATATGCGAGCTTGTTTGTGTGTATGAAATACTAGCCAATCCTTGCGAAGGAAGGCGGGACTAAGTTCGGAGTACGTTTGGAGGAAAAAAGCTTCACGCTTCTCTGAAAAACACGCACAGTGACTGTAACTGTTGTACAGAGATTTTTTTAGATCGGGAAAAGCGCGTGTACAGACTTTGCTGTTACGAAGCAAAATGCCGCTGGACATCATTCCCACAAAGGTCCCCACGGAGCCGCCAGTTTGTTAGGTTCACCTACTTTGTCTCTACACTGGCCATTTTACCAGATCTACCTTGCCCTGCTGAAAACTCATACCAACCATTAAGAGTTTCTGTTGGTTTCTGGCGGTGTCCAATAGTCCGTAATGGTACTTCGGTTTTCATGAAGGGTTGATAGGCAATGTAAAGGATTCTGATTGTTTAACAGGTGTCCTGGGACTGATTCCAGATGCATTTGATGGTTTCCTATTGAGATCTAAATGTGTCCTACAGGAAAGTAGTGGTCTCTCATCTAAATTAAGCCAGTTCCTATTAGAAAGCATCAAGTTTTAATCCTAATTGTTCAAGTGATCTTCGGCAATGTAGGTATACAAATAATGACTTCATCCATCTGTTGCTATTCACAATTTGTTAGCCACCATCTCTCCCTGTTTATCAACTGAAAGGGACCACCACTGACCACTATTTGGGAGAAGGACCATTCTCAGCACAGCAGTTACACCAAGGTGGGTGTCGCTCTGGTATTAATGTCTCAGACGCTGGCGTTTTTAAACACCTGGGTACAAAATAATCAGCAAACAAAAACAGCTTGTTAAGAGAGTATCATTTAAAAAACAGGGGGTCTTCAAGGGTTCCTTATGTATAGGGTTATACATAGACCTGTGCACACTCAAAGAATCTGAATGCATTAATGGTTCTTTGCGTGGTTAAATGGTTCCTCCAATGCTGAAAGAAATTGTATGGTTCTTAAACTATGGTTCTATGTAGCACCAAAAAGGGTTTCACTATCATTATATGTCATAAAAGACAATTTCTGGTACTATACAGAACCAAAAAGCTACAAAGTAGGGGTGGCAGTAAGTGTAAAATATGTAAAATCTCCAGCAACACCACTATTTCTAACTACTGTGCTGAGAATGGACCACTACCCACGATTAGAAGGGGCCTTATGGTGGTCCCTTCCTACTGATGAATGGGTTACAGCGTGGCTGGGAAATTGTTCAAAGCAGCAGTGGAGCTAGTCAGTAACTGTAAACACACAAAAGTGCTATATTCCTATATGTTAGGTGGGTCTGATAAAATGTCATTGAGTGTACATACATGGTGGGTGAAGAAAGTATGTTATTAAATACATTGAATACACTGGCAGTTTAGTGTTTTTTATTTTATTGAAAAAGTCATTTTTTGTCTTCTTTTGTGTTTTTATTCTAAGCTAGGGTATAGGACTCTTTTCCAAATGGGGAGTAGCTTTAAAACTGAAAATGACATCCAGTAGCATTTTGGATTTAGACAGCCAGACCAAAATGGTCTTTAACATACTATAAGATGTTGACAGCATATTTTAAGGCCTGTTTTATGACAAATGTATTATAATGATCATTATTATTGTTGTTTTTTGTAAGCTTATTTTGACAGCTGGTACACCAATTCCATTTTTCTTTCTTGCATCTGTTACTATTTCTAGGGCTCTTTTCTCTAAGTGCTCTAGTGATCTAACTGCAAAGCGAGTGTGTGGTTAGAGGACACCAGGACTAGCAGAGAGCTGCCGGGCAATGTACGTCAGGTCACAGGGGACTACAGGGACTCCAGCTGCAACTAAAATACTTCAATGGTCCCGACTTAACGACACAGCCACAAAGTATGTCTGTGATGTTGGTGTGGTCCCCGAGTGTCCCTGCCCAAAGATAGTACAGCCATGACGTCTTCAAGGCCTCTCCTCGTTCCCAGCAGGTCACGCCTTCTTCTGATTGACACAGTGCTTATGCCTTCAAATCTTAAAACGTTGAAGGAAGAACTTATTATACCAGTGGTATTCAGCTAAAGTTCTGAAAAAAATGTTACTGTTGTCTAAATTGTCATTTTAATCTTGAATGCGTTGTTTACACAGAGAAGTACATGTTACTGAATACATTTAACAAGAATCCAAACCAAGTGGGATTTGAACTTACGACCTGCCACAACATAATTGCCAACCAAGCCAAAGCTAACACAGCCTCTGCTCTCTAGTGTCTCTCTAATCTGGCCTCTCAGGAATGTCTTTCACAATGGCCTACATGCCAGCTTTGCTCCACATCATATACGCCAGACTCTGACTAACGCACACGTTTCTGAGAGACGTCTCCACAGTTTTTCTGTGCTATTAGGTGACGTACTGGACACTCCACTGCTTAGACAGTGGGGGAAACAAAGGCCACATCTCCACGAACCATGTTGGAAGACAATACTGTGACGCTAAAGCAAGTTTAGGCAAACGTGGACCTCAATGCCACCAGTGACGTGTGGCTTGGCGACCTGTGGTAAAGCCTAGCAGATTTCTCCAGTTCTGCTGACACCAGTGTGTGCGCAGACAAGATGTGGGTGTTAAGAGGTCAACCATCGATGTTGCCATGTGGCTACTTCGCTGACCAATTCAAAGACTGTGCCCACACATTCATCACAAAAGGCAATGCTTTGGTGCTGCTGAAGGATGCTCTCTTTCCACATGCCTACTGTTTATCCAGGAGTAGGCCATAAGCCCAGGGGACAGAATAAACACACCGTCAACACGTCTGTCACTCTCTATAAACCTCACTGTGTAGTTGTGTAGTGAAAAACTTCATGTATGCTTCATTACACTATTTTCAGGCTATGTTAATTTCTTGGCATGCTACATCACCTGACAACAAGCTTATTCAAATGAATTAAGTATGGTAAAACTGTAAATTCTAGAAGTGCACCAGTATATTAAAAAAACATGCATATTTCAAACATAATTCCCAAGATTTTTAGTCTCTGTTAAACATCTCCCTTCATCTATAAAAGCAAAATCCAAGTTGTTTTGGTTGCTGGGTTTGCTCGGAGGTGTCTTTATGTTATTTGTGACTGTAAGGGATTTGAGTGGCATATTCATACAGGATAAAGTATCTGTGTAATTTCCATAAATTACCCTAGATACCCTCCATAGGATCGAAACCTCATTAAGATTGAAATTAAATACGCCCAAACAAACAAGCAAACAAAACAATAATAATTTCAGTTAATGTCAGATGAAACAGCATTAAGCTAGCAAAGTAGACTCATTCAATTTAACAAATGCCACCCAACAAGACAAAAATTACAAGTACTTCAAGATATTTAATTTACCTTCATTTTAGAAGTTATCCTTGTCTCCTGTTCACCAAAAAAAGGTGTTGTTGTCTATTACCGGGTTTTAATATTACATTATCGTCAGGTCGATTTGACTACTATTAAAGAGAGAGCACCAGGTTTGGCAATTATGGGAAATAATTAGCTCCAGAACTGTGAAAATTACAAACATTGCATACTGGATTAAATAAAACTAATCCAGTTTAAACAGGACTTCAGTTGCATACTTGCGTTAATTAATTCAATCTAAGCACCTACTTGAAGACAACACAAATTCCTTAAATCATTTTTTATACTAACATAGAGTATGTTTTTATATAAGCCCAATAACAGTATGTATGTCTACCATTACTCACATGCAAAGCTCTTGTCAAAGCCTTCATTATAATCATGGATTGATTTAGCAAGGCATTCCCATGTTCAAACACATTTGGAGCAAGAGGATTAAGGCTATACAGGGCAGTTGTAAGACCATAAAGCTGAGACATTTGCATGGGTTGTAGATTGGTACTACTGTACTCCCTGCCCCCATCTATTGTGTGAACACTGTGATAACAGACTCGGTCCACAAAACACAATCAATTTCCATAACAGATCTCGCAAATGAAAAGAACAGGAACTTTAACTGAAAGCTGGCTGGCAACAGCATGCCGTTGTGTTTGGGAGAGGCCAAGACCAGGATTCCTGGGATGAAGTCCAAACTGTAAGGATAATAACATTAATCCAATGGTCATATTACCCTTTCATGGATGTATAATAACACATCCGTTATTTAGTTTTTCTTCTCCCTCAAATCTTCACCCAAAGAGCACAGTATATTTCATTATAAAACATACCTACATGATTGTATTGGCTGAATTGGGCACAGAAAGGACATCTATACCAAACAGTATTCAATCTAAGGTGAGAATGGACTGATGAGACATGATTGTACTTTAATTTGACAAAGGTAATCTAAGCCAACATATTAAAAGTCCTGCTAAATTTTGGAGGTTTGCACAATATAGATAAAGTTTAAATGGCAGGCTCCACTAGAGTGATTCGACTGTCTTTTGTATGGCAGAGATGAGGCTGGCCAAAGCGATGGCTTGATAGGAGAACAAAGGTTCCACTAGATACTGCGGGTGACCAGACCTCTGTTGGCCAGGCCATAGGAGATCTACGATGAGGTATGTGACCTTCTCAAGTTCTCCCCAGAGACGTGCGGTCTTACCCCAGATGTCTCATTTGGCCATGTTTTTTATCTCTTTCATTTTTTGGCTTTTGTGAACATAAATCAACTGGACAATACTTTATTTATTCACAAAAACAGAATGTTACGAATATCACTGAGATAAATCAATAGAAAGAACGTTGCTGCGCACAAAAGGCTTCCGGGCCTCCTGACCAACTTCTCAACCTCAGCCAGTAAAAACAGCATGTCAAATGACATATTGTATGGATAAAACACAGAACCCTTCAACATGCTCACTGTAAAGGATTTAGATCCCCTTCCCTCTTATAACTAAGGACCTATAATTTGAGGTACTCCACACAACAGTAACTTAAAAAAGGGGCACAAAAATGATGTATTTACAAACG